GTTGCAAGAATAAAATTCCCCCCTCTTTCTCTGTAGGACATCACTACATTACATAATTTAATAGTCCTGTTGCAAGAATAAAAATCATCTCCTAATTTAATCACGTCTTCTTGCATTTCTCCTCCCTTAAGCAATATTGTCAGTTTTCCCTTGTCTGTTTTCATTTCCACTTTCCACATATTAAAGTGCTGTCTCAATCGTTTCAGGCTGGTAATGCCAGACTGCACAGAAAATGTAAGTACTTCCTGCACACTTAGACTTATTTTGTACTTTTAGTACCAATAACGGTAACAAAAAGATACATGAGAGTTTTTACATTGCTACTTTGACCTCACAAACAGAAGAAATTCTCAGCAACCCAATTTCTGGGTAGCTTGTTCTCTCAGCCTTCAAACTGTACCAAAATTTGGTACTTGTTGATTCTTAGTTAATTGTTTTTTCAAAGCTTTACTTTGCAAGCCATCAGCTAAAATAACCTGAAAGGCATGTATTATACACTAGTGGCAAAGTATAAAAAAGAATTTTAATTACAGGAGTAGTTTTTGTCTCTGTCTCACTGTTAGACTTGAGAGAGAGCCTATTCATGCCTTTAAGGCAATTCAATTCCTATCAGCTGTAGTGCAAAGCCCGTGTGAAGCCTCAGTGACCACCAGACCACTTGCCACCCGAGATGTAATGAAATGGAGAAATATTTACCTTATTTTCAATCTGATTTTGTTCACAACTTCATCGATGTTTGCCAAAGACTACAACATGAAAAAAAAACGAGAAGTGAAACGAGGAACCTTTTTCTGCGACACACATCAGCTGTGATACCTAACACTTTCTCCTGCCTGGTGCTTTACCCAGAGAGCAACGATTTTGTTTTACAGACGGAGGTACCGAGACACTTCGCAACTCCGCTGCTCCTCAGGTCACATCATGAAGAGCAGCAGAAGACAGGGCAGGTCAAGGTGCAGCCCTGAAGGTCCTGGAGGCTCCCTGCTTCCCACCCAGCCCTGAGCCTGGTCTTGTCAGCAGAGCTGCTCCCGAAACGCCGTGGTGACAGTGACCTCCAGTGGGCAATGGGGACAGAGCCTTCATCTTCACCGGCCAAAGACCCTCCTGCAGAGCCCAGACACCCAGCAGAAGGCTAGAGGAGGCCTGGCTGCTGCTGGAGTGGGGGTATCACAGAGGAAACAGCTCACCACCACTGGCAAAGGGGAAAACGCCACACCAGCAAGCTGACTAGAAACAGCTGAAAGCCCAAAAAGCCGGTGCCTGCAGAGGAGCTGAAACACGATAAATGCTGGAGCTGCCTCACAACCCAGTTTTCAGCTGCAGAAACACCTCATTTTTCCAATAGTTTAGTCCAAAAGTGCCCCTGGGGCTGATTTGGGGAAGACAAAGTACGGATATGAGCCCAGGGCAATCTCATTCATTACATCTCAAAAGAAACAATAGGTTTCCAACAAGGGCGACTCTCCAGTGACATTTCACAGGCAACACCTGCCTTATTTGGCTAAAACCCCGGAGGATTTACCAATGATTAATACATGGCAAGTTATTAAATTTACTGCAAGAGAAACCTCTATATAGAAAACTAATTTATTTCTACAGATCAAAGCAGGACTTTTAATGCAGCAAGCACTTTGGGTGGAAAGAAACTACATAATGACAGTGAGCCTCGTGAGATGTGAGTTTAAGATGTGATTATTGTTATACTCATACTACCTGTGCTACTGTTAAAAGGAAAAGGCTTGTTTAAACATGCCATCAGTCACTTATTATCAGGTTACCCCTCACACCGAGGTCTGTACCACGAGTACTACTTACTTGCTCAGTGGGAAAGAGAGTATTAATATACTCCACGGCGTTGAAATCTGCTCTGTCCAGTGGATCTTGGCTGGGAAAAACCTGAAGGAGGAAAAAAACATACATTCAACAACACATCATCATTAATTTCTGCAATTTTACACAGTATCTACTACCTTTAATTACTTCAGCACCCACTTCCAATTGTGTTTCACAGCATTGGTCTATCAAGCATGCACAGAGAACAGTCAGGCCTCTGCCCAGGAGCAAAGCACCTACGTAAAATTCCTGTGGATATCAGCCTGGGTAAACACAGATAATATACATGCACGATTCCAAGTACAGCCCCAGCACAATCCATCAGGGACAAGGAATTCTGGAGACACACGAGCCATTAATTATGCATCCCAAACCATGGTGATGCTGTTGCTGTTATCTGCAAGGGAAACCCCCTGCTGAGGCATTGCCCTTATCTTTGTCGGGGCTTTGCAAGGCCCTGTGGTGAGAGATGGAGGATTTGCTTTCCACAGCCACGTAATAGGAAACATGAGGAATTAAGAAATGGTTGTACAAGTTCTCTGGAGACTTGGGTTTGCCACTTTCACATGAAAAAGAGAGAGAGAAACAGCAACTGCTGAGTGATTCTTCCTACCCACAGGAAAGGGGAAAGAGCAGCTGTGGTGCAAACAGATCTTATCTCTCCTCAGAAGTAGCGTAAACGATTGAAAAGCGATGGAAACAGCTGCCAGGCTTTGCTTTTTGTCCTCACAGACTAAAATACGCTGTGTTCCCCTCTCTGCTACCATATCCCTTCCATATTTATACAGCTCTGCGCTCCGTGGTCAAAACCCTGCCTAGCTCACACTGCAGCATCACCTCTGCACGTCACCCTGGTCCCATGCAGCACTTACAGTTTTACGTATTTTGGAGTGTAAAAGCAGTGATTTTGCGAGATCATTTAAACAGAAGCAACTTCTCCCTGAAACAGGCCTCTTCAGCAGCTGTCCCAAAGCTACTCCTGTGGCCAAGGAGAGGCAGGTGGCAGTTAAATGCTCACAAGGTCGTGCCCCAGTGAGGAAGGTGCTCTGACGTTAACCCACTTAACCCATCAGCACAACTGCAGCACCACAACCAGCCTGTCCTGCTCTGGGCTCACAACTCCTGCAGGTTCAATTAATCCCAGATCTCCACAAGAGCTAAGAGCAGCTGAAGCAAAGGGTGGGATGGAAGACAGGCTAGGTCAGGAACTCCACTCTCAAACCACAGATAGAGATCAATGCTGCAGGCGGCTGTACCAGCTGAAGTCGCTGCTACTCCCTAGTCTTCGTCACAGCTCAATCACAAATGACTACCCCACAATTTGTGAGGCACCAGTCTGCGTGTGCTTCCAACCCCATTTCAGGCAGAAGTCACCTGAGCCAGTTCTGCCCATTTAACTAGAACCTGATTAAGGAACACTCCTGGGAACAACAGGATGATTGGGTTGGTAAATGCCAGTGATGAAGTGATGAAAGGCAGGAGGTCACATCAACCTCAACCTATCCCCTTGCTCAGGATGCAAGTATTTACCTGTAGCCTCATTACCTGGTAAAATAACTCAGGGATATGGCAGATTCTGCACTGCTCGAAACCTCAAGTCAAGACTGTGTCTAAAAGATGTGTTTTAACTTGGAAAGACACTGTGCTTGATGAAAACATCATTAGATAACTCCAATTGGCTGTATAATGTTAGAAATCACACCAGGCATCTCTGGCTTTCAAACATACAGGCTCTAGAAAGTGCAGAGGATTCTTTTTTTAGACAAGTTCCAGGTCTCCTTTAGAACCTGGCATTTAATTCAGCAATTCTCAAGATTTCAGCAAAAATTCCCCAACAAGTTCACTGCCAGATGTGCCAACCCCATGCAAAGATAAGAGTCTTTGGGATGTCTCTTTCTTTGGAGCAGTAATATTCCAAGGTTGGCACAGCACCCACAAAGAAACCATGCTATCCTCCTCACCTTCTGGTGCTGGGCTTGAGATAGGGCATCAGCCACCACTGGTCTGCCCTGGTTCTTTCAGGAGAGGCCCCAAAAGTGACCCACAAGCCTCAATGCTCCAGAAAGCAAGAAAACTTTGTTAAGCGACGCTTTGAAAAACAGCTCCTGTTTCTGTCCACAGACTTCTATGACGAGAAGGAGCTCTGTGGACAGAAGGGTTGGCTGAAGTCAGTGCAAGCTCAGTCAGACTCCAACAGACACGTGACTTTACCCTGGTTTCTCATGGCCTTTTGCTGGGCTCCAAGCACCACAAAGGGTTTCAGGGAACACTGAAGGACTTGGGCCGGAACACAATATTGATCACAAAAGTCAAGCCAAGACTTATCCCGACTCCAAGCGAGTCGCAGGCCATTTGGCTCCATTAGGATGCTCTACATACCCAGTAACAAGGATTCAATGAAAAGACAGAGAAGAGGCGTGCCCTGGGAGGCTCGGTGATGGGGAAGCCATCAGATGAGATACGCTCGGCCGCAGGACCAGCCCTGGCACCGCGGCGGAGGGTGACAATCCCCCGGCACTGAGGTGACCCGGGGGACCCCAGCCGGCGGCCAACGCAGCCCGGGGACACCGGCAGAGCCCATCCTCCCCGGAGGCTAAAGGAGCTCTCCCCCCACTCCAAGCACCCGGGCCGCACCCGCCCCGAAACACGGACAGCTCGGGGCTCTGAGGGGCCCAGGAGCGGAAGGCGCGGAGCCCGCTGAGGGACCGCAGGGCCCGGCAGAGCCTTCACAGAGCGGGCAACCGGGCCGCGCCCACACCCGGGCCCCTCACGGGGCTAGGCCCTGCCGCACCCCAGAGCCCAGCCGGCCCCCGCACGTCCCCGCGGCAGGCCGCCCCGGCGCACCTGCTCGATAGCGGCCTGCACAGCAGGGGCCAGCTCCAGCGCCGCCTCCAGCCCGGCCGCCAGCTCCGGCTCGTCCTCCTCCATGGCGGCCGGCCGCTTCCGGGCCGCAGGGCACGCCGGGATACAGGAGGACACACCCTCTCCTCCGCGCCGGGCATGGGGGGCGTGGCCTGGAGGAAAGAGGGGCGTGGCTTGATTGGGCGGTGTCTCCGGGGAGGCGGGGCTTGTGGCGGGAGGGGGCGGGGCCTGCCGCCCGGCGGTGCGGGGCGCGGCGGGAGCGGCGGGGCCGGTTCCAGCCGTTGCCCGTCCG